ATTCATTTTTAAATTATAACCCCTTTTATCTCCAATTAGTCAACTTTCTTTCTAATCAGATACAGGCATTCCTACTTTTTGACTTCAAAAATAACGCCTGCGGTGCAAATACATTTGCATTTTCCTTTAAGACTACTGCAGTTTCCTCAGTATGGATGTGGACCTCATCCCTTTCTCCTTGTCTGCACAAGCAGATCCACTGGCTTCAGTAGCAGTTGCCTGATACCTGCACATTCAAGTTTGAGTCTACAAGATATTTATGAGAATCTGCCTAAATAGTGAATGTCCTGTCTGACCTTGTCATCTCATGGTTATTTCCCTTGATGCTGATTTGTTTTATTTAAACAAGTAGTGCTTTCAGACTTTTTCTAACAGGATTTTATTAATGTTTTTCATCAGAGCTCCGTCGAGCAGTTAGGAGCAGTTTGTGGAAAAAAGAAGCAGGCATCCACCAGCATGAGTATGGACCAGAAGAAAATATTGAAGAAGATATGTATAAAAAGACATGTACTACGTGTGGCCATGAGTTAACATATGAAAAAATGTAGCCAGTCCTGATTTTTTATTGTTCCAAAAGTGTATCTTTTTAATAATAAATATTTTCTGTCAAGGTAAAATTAATCTGATTGTGAGTACATCTTTGTACAGAATCCTATAAAGATATTACTCATTTATCTTCAGTTCCTGTATGCAAATAGTTACGTCTGACAAAATTCATGGTTTAGATATCCTTTACATTTTTTTTTTTTTGCCACTGACCAGCTCATGATGCTCATGAGCGTATGTGCTAGGACCAAGAGAAGAACTTTGCCTGGGGAGAGCAAAGCCAGAGAGCATAGTGGTGTTGACATGCAAATCAGTCATCCACCCTAGATATAGGGGTGAAAAACTAACTGAACCATCTAGTAGCTAGTTCCTTCCAAAGTTGAAAGGTGAAAGATACAGCACCAATATAAAGGTTGGGATTTATTGTAGGCCAGCAAGTCAGGAAGTGGAGGTGGATGAAGCACTCCAAGCAGGTGACACATCTATCCAAAAGCTGGAACGGTAATGATGGGAGACTTCGATTTTCTGGATGTCTGCTGGAAGAAAGGTGAAACCAAACATAAAATGTCAAGCTGATTCTTAACTTGTGTGGAGGACAGCTTTCTGTTCCAAGGGACCATATACTTTGGATCTTGTCCTGACTAACAGGGAGGATGTGTGAAGGCTTATCTGAATAAGGAAGGGGACAAGCCAAGAGAGGAGATAACAAAACAAGTTGTCAGACTGCTTTTGTTAGGTCTCAATGAATTGAAGTCAGCAGAGCTGGATGACTTCATCCCAGGGAGGAACTGGTAAGGGAGATCTTGGACCCCTTGGCAAAGTTCTTCATGAAGTTGTGAGAGGTGGGCCAGGCACCAGAGGACTGGAAAGGGTCCACCGTAGTGCCTCTCTTTTTGAGAAGGCAAAAAGGAGGACCTGGGGAACTACAGACTAGTTAGCCTCACTTCAGTACCTGGGAAGTTAGTGGAGCATATCCTAAGGAAGGCCATTTGCAAGGATCTAGAGTAAGAAAGGCTGCATGGATTTATGAAAAACACATCTTGTCAGATAAACTTGATCTCCTTTGACAAAGTAACTGCTTGGGTAGATGAAGGAAATGCTGTAAATACAGTGTTTCTAGACGTCAGCAAGGCTTTTGACAAGATCCCACAAGTCCTTTTCAGAAACACATTGGAGAAATGTAGGCTAGATAAAACTAAGGTGGATAAGTTGCTGGTTCAATAGCTACAAGTTAGGGTATTGTCTCAACATTGATGGTAGTTTTATGAAGAGTTTAGATTACAAATTTGTACAGAATGGCTTGGATAGAGATGATCCTGCCTTAGGTAGGGAGTTGGACCAAATGACCTCTGGAGGTCCCTTTCAGCCATTTATGTTTCTATGATGCTATAATGGATCACCAGCAAATGTTAACTTTAACACTGACTAACATCCTTACATTAAGCACCTGCTCTGTAATCTCATCCTAAGGTACTATTACGGGAGTTTAGTCAAAACTATCTTAGGGTACACTTGGCAGTTTTGTGGACAGGGAAATGTAGGGTCACTGCTGGTCTCAGCATGGTGCAACTGCTTTTATGGGCCTATATCCACTATCCCCACTTTATAGTCTCACCAGTTATGCCCTGATGTAACAAATTAATGGGGAGGCTGCCCTAAGTGCAAAGAGAGCTTTGGGTAGTGGGCTCTTTTCTGGACTGGCTGCCCCGGCCTCATCCCACTTTGACTCTGGCTGCACCATCTAGCTTAAAGCCTGCTGCCCAGGGCCGCAAGCTCAGCCTGACGGCAAGTCAAGTCATCCCTTCTTGACTCTGAGTTGTAGGGTCCTGTGAGGCCAAGGGGCTTGCTTTCATGTTTTCCAACTGTGTCTGGCAAGCTTTGCCCCTCACAGGCTCTGTACCTATC